GTTTGAAAAGGGCCAACATCATGGACATTTTGAAGAAAAACTCAAGTACGGTGGCATTAACTACGGATGTGTGGACGACATCTAATCAAAAGAAAGGTTACATGGCTATCACTGTGCACTTTATTGACAACAATTAGAGTTTGCAAAGTTTGCTTATGAGACATGTTACTTAACTAATCTTATAATAAATTTCTTATATTATTTGTTGTGCAATTTCTTACATTATTTGGTATGTAATTTTTTAATTGATAGGTTTATTTATTCTCCTTGTCCACATACATCGGTAGTTCTTTCCAAAGAATGGTTGAAATGTATATTTGATTGGAATATTGAAAGAAAGTTGTCAACTTTGACTATTGACAATTGTTCAACAAATGATGGTATGATTGAATTCCTTGTATCCTAGCTAGCTATCTTTTATTGTGTGGGAAGTTAGTTCACATGCATTGTTGTGCACACATTTTAAATTTGATTGTTCAAGATGGGATAAAGATTATGGGTCCGAGATTAGAAAGTATAAGAGATAGTGTTGCCTTTTGGTTAGCCACACCAAAAAAAAAAACAACAAACTTTTAAAGAAAATGCAACATATTTGGGAATTGAATATTCAAAGCAATTAGTGCTTGATTGCAAGCCCCAATGAAATTCTTACATTTCTAATGCTTAGTGTTGCTTTGGAATACAATGATGTTTTTTATTCGTTTGGAACAAAGAGAACCCCTTTTTACTAGTGCACCACTAAAAGAAGATTCGAAGTTAGCTGAAGAAATGTGTAAGAAATTGAAGTTGTTTTACAAAGCTTCAAATGCATTTTCATGGAGGAATTACCCAACAACTAATGTGTTTTTTTCCCTTGATGTGTGAGATCAAATTCTCTTTGAGAAGTTGGGTGAAATCTTCTGATTTGGCTGTGGCAAACATGGCTAAAAATATGATAGCAAAGTTTGATAAATATTGGAATCAATGTATGTGATTATGGTAGTAGCTACAATTCTTGATCCAAGATATAAGTTTAAGATAATTGACTATTTCTTTGAGGAATTCTATAGAGAAACAACTGCTAAAAAATCATAAGAGATACAAAATATTGTTATGAATTGTTGCATGAGTATGAAAGTTCCTCTCATATTGGCAAAAGCACCAAACGTTCATCTAAAGTTCCAAATGAGGATGGGAATGAAGGAGATTGCTTTTTCTCAGGATTTAAGTCATATTTGAATAATTCTAAAACAAAGGGTTTGAAATCAGAGTTGGATCAATATTTGGAGGAAGAAGTCTTGCCATTAGCTAATGACTATTTGGTGGAGAGGTGTTGGACTTTGCTATCCAATTTTGCAAAAGATTGCCAATGATATTTTAACTATTCCAGTTTTTACTGTTGCTTTAGAATCATCTTTTAGCATCGGTAGTAGAATGCCAAGTCCTCATCGTAGTAAACTTCTTCCAAATACTTTGGAGGCATTAATGTATTGTCAAAATTGGTTGTTGAAAGGTATTAAAGGTAATAAAATTTACTCAAATGAAATTTAATAGCAAAGAATCAATTACTTTTCTTTAGGTTACTTGATATAGTTTGTTATTTTGTCGGTAAATTTTCCTAGGAAAATGGTGCATGCAACACTATTCATGATAATTATGAAAATGAAGAAGACTTGGAAGAAATGGAGATACATCTTAACTTATAAATATAACATAATTCATGTATTAAATTTAATACGATATAGTGATATCAACATGGATTATTTTTAATTATTTTGAATCTTTGATTCATTTTTTGTTTAGATGGCAGGAGAGATTTGAAAAACGAGTTTTGAAGTTTATAGCTACTTTTTTTTTTTACTATGTCGATGATTTGAAGCACTAGTATAATCCTTGAAGATTTGAAGCACTAAACATGAAGTATTGTATAGATTTTTGGGTAGTAAGGGAAGGTCCTAACTCACTAATATTAAAGTTTTTATTTTTTGGTGCTAGTTGCTAAGATTTTATACACTAATGTTGAAGTTGGAAGCAAATGTAATATTTGGTAGTTATCTGACGAAGACTTTGATGCATTAATATTATAAATGTAGTTATAAAAATTTTATTAGATATAAGTGTCATATTAATGAGACTAAGTTTACATGTTGGGTTGCTTTAAAAAAAGAAGAAGTTTACATGTTGGGTATTCCCTGCACCTGCAAAATCCCCACGATGTTGGGTTGCTTTCAAAAAAAAAAAAAGTTTACATGTTGGGTTTTCCCTGCACCCACAAAATCCCCACGGGGCGGGTATGAGGAAGGAATTTCATTACCCGCGCAGGTGCAAGTGCGGGTATGGGGAGTGGGGTGGGTTTGCGGCGGCGGGGGCGGGGGATATATACCCTGCTCCATTGCCATCCATACTTGTGTGAGGCTTTTTATATGTACGTTATAATATTTTTTTTAGTTAAAAATTAAGGGCAACACTTGTGTGAAACCGTCTCACGAATCTTTATCCGTGAGACGAGTCTGATGAATATGCAAATGTCATACTTATATGCATAAATGTAATACAAATCAGAAATAAAATGTTTGTTACTTATAATAGAAATGTAATACTTTTGATAAAAAATGTAAAAAAAAAAAAAAAAAAAAAAAAAAAAAGACAACAGTTAAATACAAACGGATAAGAAATATAATAATAAAAAAATCGTAGTCTATTACAAAAATACAATATTAGTTTATAGGGGCAGAACAAAAAATGTTCGTCAGTGGAGGTGATTTTTTTTTTTTAAATATATCAAAACGTGATAAAAGAATATTTATAATAAAATATGAAATGGTTGAAATAAATTGTATATCATCGCTATTAATATTATATTCATAAATACTTTTTAATTTAATTAGATCAACTCTAAATATTTTATATTAATTTAAATACGATAATTCACAATTGAAACTTTTAGATTATACTAACTAGATAGTTCATAAAATTGAAATTTTGTTTTAAAATATTAACTAGATAGTTCAAATTGGTCCTTTGACATTTAATTGCACCCAAAGTAATCCTCTGACTATAGTAAATCATTGAATTGCCAGTTTTACCCCTCATTTAAACACCCACTTAACACCAAAACTAATAGAGGACCATTTTGGCTTAAAATTCAATAGTAAGAGGACCACTTTGGGTGCAATTAAAAGTCAAGGAACCAATTTGAGAAAAGGCCATAGTCAAAGGACCATTTTGAGAATTAACTCAATGTTAATTTAGTACCTTGACTATGCAATTTCTATCAATTTTGGTCACGCCGATCAAATTACCGATGAAAAGTGGCCGAAAAAATTTTAATAGTAAAATAATGAGGGCATTTTGGTATTTTCTTCTTCTTTGTTCTTCTTCTCCATTGGGGCTCTTCTACACCACTGGAAAATTTTCCCCTCTTCTCCGATTCAGACGAGCTTGCTGGCGCTCAAGAATGCTTGCTCATTTGTGCGCCTCCACTGCAGGTTTGCATGGCTTTCGTTACCGTTCTTCTCTCATATTTCTTATCCGGTCTCCGTCGCAAATCCACTCTAAACCCTACCGTCTCCGTCGCCTCTGCCGTCTAGCCCAAGCATAAGATGAGACGAATTTGTTTGTTTCTCTAATTCGTTTAGAGTCTGATGGAGAAATGCGGATTAGGGTTCAAATCTCTACAAGTTTTGCTTTAATTTTAAGAAAAAAACACTCTTAAAATTCGGTAGTTCAACACATACAAATTATCAATCATTAGAAATCTGTAAAATCTTGCTAGTGACTTCTTTCTTGTAATGGAACTATGGCCAATCGTTATATCCTACACCACGGCGCACATAGCACTGTGCGTCGCGCGCCTCCCAAAACGACGTCGTTTTGGGGTAGTGTTGAGAGGTGCGGTAGGAAGTTGCTGAGATTATGTGTATTTGTTCACAACGTTATGTGTATTTGTTCACAACGTTATATGTATTGGTTCATACAGGTATATGTATTTTTTATACAATTATGTACATTCTTTTTATACAATTATGTACATCCGAATCAGAAAATTTATGTGTATTATGTTAAGAGTTGATGTGTATTATGTTAAAAGTTTATGTTTATTATGTATTATGTTAGATTATGTGTATTATTTTTTAAAAAGAGTATGTATATTTTGTTATATAATTATGTACATTCATGTATAACATTATGTGTACTCTAGTATAACATTATGTACATTCTTGAACAGCGGGTTTTTTTTTTTAAAGAAAAAACTACTGCCATTCACTGGGGCGAGAAATTTAAAAAAAAAAAATAATTAAAACGACGTCGTTTTGCATCTGGGCGCATAGTGCAACGCGCGTCGTGGTGTAGGATATAAATTGCCAACTATGGCACCTTCTAGTCTATAATATACTTTATAAGAAGGATTTGACTGGGAGCTGTTTTGTGATGTCGGAAATGCGGTTGGCTGGGAAGTAGCTTGTAGCGTCGAAAATACAGGTGGCTTGGAAGACCCTTGTAGCGTCGGAATTTATGTAGAAGGCTGAGGTGAACTTATCTTTGGGCTGTCTTTGATTTTTCGACCTTTGTCCTCTGTTTTAAGCTTCAAACTATTCATAAATTTTTAGGTAATTCCTTAAATTTTTGTCACATGAGGTTGATAGTTTATCTTGCTAGATATGTTTGTTTTATGTTGTAGTTATAAATTAAACTACTACTGTGGTTGAAGCCATTGTTGCCAATTTTCTTGGCCCAAGTGCTCTGGATGCAAACAAAGTTACAAACCCATCATGGGTTCTGCGCCTGGAAGAAACCCAATGGAGAAGAAGAATAGTGAAGAAGTAAAAGAACAAAATTCCCTCATTATTTTACCATTAAAAATTTTTAGGTCACAATTCACAGTAATTTGACCGGCGTGACTAAAATTAATAGAAATTGCATTGTCAATGTATTAAATTAACATTTTTGATAGTCAAGTGTTGCAATTAACACAACTTCAATAGTCAGTGGATCAAAATTGAAATTTTCCATGTTCCATAATAAGTAATGTTGGCAAGTGTTTGTTACATATATGGGTAAATATAATACTTTTAAATCAAAATGTAAATGTATTAGATTTTCTCATATAAGTAATAAAACACTTTATTCCTAATTAGTATTACATATGTGCTAATAAGTATTATATTTATATATTGATCCGATCATATTAAGTTGAAACGATCTCACACAAATTTTTACAAAAAATTAATTGTTAGTTTTATAACTTTTGCAACGAACCATCACAATTGTTCAGAACTTTGTGAAACATTGCTATAAAGGTGGTAGAAACTAATGTATTACTTTGAAGAGTACAAATTGCGAAATTTTTACATGCCTATATATATATATATATATATATATATATATATATATATATATTGTGAAATTTTTACATGCCTATATATATATACATAATGTATTGCTTTTTATTTCACTTAGATTTTAATTAGTAAAAATTGTTAATTATTTTAAAAAATATAAATATTGGGCATATATTTTTGCGCATCGCGCCTAAAAAAGACTAGCATATATATATGCGCAAAAAGAGACTAGTATATATATATATATATATATATATATATATATATATAATAAGCTTCAATCCAGGTTATACCCCTGGTTTATGTCCGTTTTTTCTGTTAAATTCTTTTGTACCTTATGCTATAAAAGTTGTACTATATAATTTTTTGGACAAAAATATCCCTGCAGTTATAACTTCTGTTATCTTTCTACATTATTATTACCATGTACATGCATACATAATATTATTTCTTACATCCTTCCATGGTAAGTTTGAATTCATTTAGGTTTTAATTAAAATGTTACCATAGTTATATTTAATAATTTATCATTTCTATAATTTTTACCTCAAAAATATTAATATGAATTATACAATTAGATATATATATATACACACACACACACACACAATTATTTGTTTAAAAAAAAATTAATATAACTAAGATTTTAATATTTAGTTTTAATATTGGGCATATATTTTTTGCGCATCGTGCATATAAAATACTAAAGGAAGTATTGTATGCTGGCCGAATTAGGAAACTTAATCCTTAAAATATGCTAATTGACTACAAATTGATTAAATTCCAAACATTATGGTAAACATCTCCCTAGATTATGCAAAAAATTATCTAAATTGCTATTTCCATAAGTAAGAAACTGTCCTAAAAACTCATGTTAATCACATTGAGATCGATCACTCGACCTAGGACAACCACATGAACCTTTGTCCTCACCTATCAGTAATACTTTTCTATAAATCCATAAAATATGTTATATCTTGTGTTTAAAATAATGCATATTTCTAATTAAAATAATCTATATCTTGAGCTTAGTTTAAGATTTGATTTTTTAAAGTTAAATACATTTTCCTAATTAAATGTCTTTGACCTTAAAATTTTCACTTTAAAATTTTAGAAAAATTCAATCAATACATCAAGATGTTCCGAAATATCAATAACTAGTTATCTGCAAATGCAACACAACAATCTCATAAAAATATATAAGGGATATATATATATATATATATATATATATATATATATATATATATATATATATATATATATATATATTTATTTATTTATTTATTTATTTTTTTCTTTTTTTTTTTGGGTACATCAGAGGCCCTCCCACGAGAGCACTATCTAATCCTGATATTCGGAGTACTCCGAGCATCCGCCCATAGCAGGTCTTTCAAATGGTCATTATTCTGAATGAGTGTCCCCCAATCAACATTCTGCCCAAGATTAGCAAGCCAATCATTGCACTTGTTCCCCTCTCTTTCAATATGAGAAAACAGAACCTTGGTAAACATTCTAACTAGATCCATGCACTAGTACAAAACAGTTATTTGCATCCAAAGTTAAGGCTAAAAGGCGTCCAAAGTTGCTTAGCGTCCAAAGTTACTTTGGATGTGAAAAATGATAATTCGCGTCCAAAGTTCTTCAACTTTAGACGCGAATTATAATTTTATTTATTTATTTAATTTGATAAAAATTCCAGTTCTTTTCCTGTACAAAAAATATTATTCACATCCTGTACATACAGTCACTACCACTACTACTTCAAAGCTTTCAACTAAACTTCAATACATCATTAACAACACTTTAGCACTAAATTAAACTTCAATACACTCAATTCACAACATACATCAACACTTCAAAGTTTTCAACACATATGTAAACTAAACTTCAAACACTTTAGCACTTTAATCCATACATTCACAACAATATCAACATGCACTTCAAAGTTCTCAACACTTCAAATTAAAGTTCGCAACACATACATGTAATAAGCTAGCTAAGTACCAACAATACATCATTAAAATTAACTAAATAAGATTTCAAAACTTTATATACATTCTTCAATAAAATATTTAGACCAAACCTCACGAATCTCATCAATTTGCTCTTGTGAGTAAGGCTTTTCATCAAATGCCTACAAAAATTTAAAATAATCAAATAATTAGTTTTAACATTAATAAAGTGTAATTTAAAACTATTTAGTTTTAATAAATTTTACATACCGTATCTAAATGTTCAAAATCCGAATATAGAGTGCATATTTCATACTTGTATCTCATCACATAATACCCGCACTCCACACTACCCGGTTGTTGAGGACACTACAAAATATGAGTTTTTATGTATATATATTATTAAGTTAAACAATAAAAACATTACTAATAAAATTGTAAAAGATATTAATACTCTAATTTTGATATACACCTAAATTGTATCCCAATCGACGTTGTTTTTAGGTCTTCTCCCTCCTAAAGTTGCAATCGATCGAAATGCCCTATAATATACACTCATAAATAATTTATAAACAATAATGGTTAATAATTCTCAATATATATATATATATATATATATATATATATATATATATATATATATATATATATATATATATACTTACACATTCAATGTGGCCTTAATCTCCAACTCGAGCTTACATGCACGGGAGTCTAATACATAGACTTTTCTTGATTGAACACAAATAACTAGAAGCATCCAATGATTTCTACGGCATTTAAATAAATATGTTAAACGTTATTCACAAATAATTCAATTAAGCTATATAAATAATTAAAAATATAAATTTAGCTTTCTTACTCTTGATGGTATGAAGCTAAAATGAAGTTTGGATCACTTTGTTGACCCAGGGCACAAACCAAATATCTTGTGACCTTATCAGTATCATCAACTACACGGTCCCTACAAATAGTCCTTGGGCAGAGAAATCCAATTGTAGTAACTTCACTTTTGTCGCACATCCGATGAAGACATCTACAACATATGTAGATAATTAATAAAAATGAAAGACTAAAGAAAAGTTTTTAAATATAAAAACATTATAAAAAATACTTACATTATAAATATTTGTAATATGGTCACATCAAGCCATTTCATCGTCAACATGTCTTTAACATCTTCAAACAATACGTGAATGAAATTCACATCTAAATGATGGAAGATTGCCTCCTCTAGGTCCACGTCAATGTAATCTAAATCGGATGGCAAGTTTCTAGGATGTCGAGCAAATTACACTTTTGGTCCTATGACTATAAGGGGCGTGTTAATTTCAGTCTGTGACTTTTAAAACTAACAATTTAGTCCTTTAACTATGTTTTTTTTAGCAGATTTGGTCCTCCGGACCAAATTACTGGCCAAAATTCGCCGGAAAAACATAACTCATTTTAAAGTATTTATAATTGGGGGTAAAATGGTCCTTTCACGTCCGTTCTTCTTCTTCCTTCGATTAGTAGTTTTTTTTTATTGAACCACTATAAATATTGAAGAGTTCCAGCTCGCCGTCAACAATGGCGTGTCTGCGCGCAAGTCCAAACCCTCCGGTAATCACCCCACCGGAATCCAAATACACATGCAAATACCTTCCCATTCACACTATGGCCACTAGTTTCTCGAAGCAGCTTAGGTTCTCAATTAGCGGCGCATCAAGGCGGCCCTCATTCCAATCCTTCTCCGCCGCCGCCGCCGTTCGCTGCGAGTCTTCTTCTCCGGCGCGCCGGCCGGACATACCGAACCGAATCCCCGATCCCAACTATGTTCGCATTTTCGACACCACTCTCAGCGACGGCGAGCAGTCCCCCGGGGCCACCATGACCACCAAGGAGAAGCTCGCCGTAGCCCGCCAGCTCGCCAGGCTCGGCGTCGACATCATTGAGGCCGGATTTCCCGCTTCCTCCGAGGCAGACCTCGAGGCTGTTAAACTGATTGCCGAGGAGGTCGGCCGTGGGGAGGGCGATCACATGTCTGTCATATGCGGCCTCGCCAGGTGCAATAAGAGAGACATAGACAAGGCCTGGGAGGCTGTAAAGCATGCCAAGAAGCCCAGGATCCACACCTTCATCGCTACCAGTGAGATCCACATGAACTACAAGCTCAAAATGTCCAGGGAACAAGTGGTGGAGAAGGCCACTAGCATGGTTGCATATGCCAGGAGCCTGGGTTGCATATGCCAGGAGCTTGGGTAATCGACGGCGGAAGGCGCAGCAAGGAAGAAGAAGAACAGACGTGAAAGGACCATTTTACCCCCAATTATAAATACTTTAAAATGGGTTACGTTTTTCCGGTGAATTTTGGCCGATAATTTGGCCCGGAGGATCAAATCTGCTAAAAAAACATAGTTAAAGGACTAAATTGTTAGTTTTAAAAGTCACGGACTGAAATTAACACGCCCCTTATAGTCATAGGACCAAAAGTGTAATTTGCTCTAAGATGTCTGACCAATTTTTTGCATTGATCCAATTACTGCAGTGTATCATCATCAACAAGAAGTGGTCGTAATTCTACAGCAGATTGATCACCACTTTCAAAATTCATCATTCTTGTTTGTTTTGAATGTTCCTATGAATCAAAAATTAAAAGACTTAATAACAAGTAGAATATCAGATATTCAAAATATTAAAGATAGTTAATATTACCTTAAGCTTGTTTAATGGATCAATAGAATGACAACTGCTCCAAGTTTGTGTGCCAACGTTTGGACTTGCTTGTGCATTCTTCAACAAATATTCTACCTGAGATTGCATCATTTCTAGCTAACTTGGATTGCATATCTTCCATTGTTTCTTTTCTAATCTTTTCAGCCACTTTCTCATATATTTTCTTCTCTATGATCTTCTCCATATCAGTAACTGAAACAACCCCAGCTGAATTTCCACGACTTACGCTCTCCGGTTTACCAAACACATCCCGAATATTGGAGTGCACTCCAACACCTCTCACATAGCCACCGTACTCATTGGTGCCAAGAGCTGATGTCAATATATCATTTTGTCTTTTTGGTTGGAATGAGCCTTGACTTATCTCTTCACACTTCTCGACCTATTTCAACACAAACAAGATTTAAAATTTACATGTTAGCTAGCATTCTCGTCAATAATATATATATTTAAAGTATTTGTATTACTTACAATTTTATCAAACACTCCCTTCGTTTTTTTTCGTTGGGAATGTAATAACTTCCATCCTCTGATTTTTTAGATCGCGCTCGAACCCAATCCAAACTACGATCAGTAGATGCTATGGTCGATGTAATAGCAGCACAAGAAGATTGTGAAGACAATGGGTCGCATATCAACCACTCAGATTGCTTTCCAACATAGCCCTTAGACCCTAAATAGCGGGGATGTTCATTTCACGCTTATAACTCCCTATACTTTTGACTTTTGGCCTATAATAGGTTAATAATAATAAAACATTAAGTCCACGTCAATAAAACATGATTATTAAGCAAGTAAATGCTGTAGTGTACCTTGGAGGCTTCAGTTTCCTGATTTTTTACAAAATTTTCCCATTGTTCTTCATTCAAGAAGTCATAACACTCACAGG